CAAATAAAGGTTCTGAATTGATTGTGAGGATTAGATATACTTTTATACTTCAAAACATAGTTCTTCCTTCTCAATCTCAATTATAAGCTAGAACTTTATAGAATTGACTTGGCAGCTGGGAGCTGGTTGCTCATGCCTGTAATCCTAACTATTCTGGAGGCTGAGATCTGAGGATTATGGTTCACAGTCAGCCTGGGCAGGAAAGTCTGTGAGACTCTTATTTTCAATACACTACTCAGAAAAAGTTGGAAATGGTGCTATGGCTTAAGTGGTAGAATACTAGCCTTGAACACGAAGAGGTTCAGGGACAGTGCCCAGGCCCTAAGTTCAGGCCCCAAGACTGGCCAAAAAAAGAAAAAAGAAATGGCCTGGCTAGTAAGGTTCATGGAGACAAAATCAAGCTGAAGCTGAACAGGGAGATCCATGAAAGTTTTCCAAGTCACCAAATGCAGAGCAGCAACAGTAGAATGCTCCCATTGATTGCCCAGCCTCAGTATGTGCTGAGTTTACAGCCTCACTGCCCTTCTTACAGGTTATAAATAACCACAAACTGTCCTTGTCCCCAAGGAGATCTTAGCGGCCAGCTCAAAGGTTAAAATATGGAAGAATTCTCACTTTGGATGCAACCTTTCCAAGCTAATCAAAAACATTAAAAAACAAAAACAAAACATAGAAAAATGTATTACCAATTTAAGAGCTGCAAAGTTATTCCCTTTCCCTAAATGTATCCATTATGTAAGAGTTATTGATACAGACATAGTAGCATAATTTTCTACCCTCAATGTATCTTGAGTTTTCAAAACAATACATTTTATAGTATTGATTTTATAACCCTGGAAATCATATCTCAATAAAGTTGAAAAAAAAAAAAAGCTGAGTATTAGTGGCTCATTCCTGTAATCCTAGCTACTTAGATGGCTGAGATCTGCTGGAATATGATTTTAGGCCCGTCTGAGTGCAAACATTCACTAGACTCTGTCTCTAACATAACCAACTAAAGTAGGACTGCAGGCGTGACTCAGGTGTTGCCAGCCTAGGAAGTGCAAGGCCTTGAGTTCAAACCCCAGTACTGTTAAAAAGAAAAAGAAAAAAACCTGAAGCATATCCAGGGAGAATGCAATGCATGTCTCCTCCAAACGTAGACGCTTGTCCTGGAAAGGGGCCATTCTTACTGCCTTGCAGGACTGCAAGTCCACAGATGTTAAAAAGTAATTCTAGAGATTTTTTTTTAAAAAATTAGGCACACATGATTACTGAGCAAAACATACCCACATTAAGCAAAACAAAACCAAAAAACAACATAAGACTGGGTGCCAGTGGCTCATACCTTTAATCCTAGCTACCCAGGAGGCTGAGATCTGAGGATCACAGTTCAAAGCCAGACTGGGCAGAAAAGTCCCTGTGAGACCATTATCTCTAACTACTCAAACGCTGGAAGTGATGCTGTGGCTCAAGTGGTAGAGCACTAGAGCTTTGAGCACAAAGAGGCTCTGTGGGAGCACCCAGGCCCTGAGTTCAAGAGCCACAACTGACAAAAAGAAAAAGAAAGAAAAGAAGGCTTCAATCTCCACTTGGATGGAATATCCAGGAGACTAAACCCTGGTTGCAACAAGTACAGTTTTGCAAGGTCTTTATTAATATCATCAGGTGATACGTGCTGTTGTTAATTACAGAACCCTTGCTGGGGAAAAAAACTTCACCAGCTGCTTAAAAAAAAAAAAAAAAGCAAAGCTCAATAGAATAACCTTCATGTCACTTTTAAATCTATCACTTGGAAGATGTAAAGAAGTAACAACATAACTTCAAATCAAGAAGCAAACCTGCTTATAGAGGACTATTTCACTTCACAGTGGGTCTCAGCTCCAAAAGAAAAACATCTTTAGAAATAATTAAAGGCAAAACCAAACATTCAGCCATGACGCCATTCTCATAAATTAGAATCATGTGTTGCTTCCACAGAATGGTTTGGGCAAAAGAAGCCACAGAGTGAACTTGGGAAAGAAGATTTTTAACATAACCCACATGTCGTCAAAGATTTCTCCTTTAGGTGAAGAAAATTTAGTAATTTTAAACAAGAGCCAAAAGGAATTTAAAAAGAAAAAGGAAGAAAAAAAGGAGGTGAAGAAGGGAAACAAAGTAGGGAGCCCTATAGTTGAGATATTCTATTTATTGTATAGCAAAAATTCCCAAAGCTGTTTTGAGATTTGAGGTGTTTACGGTCTTTACCTTTCGCCTTCAACAATGACTATGAAGAACCTTATAAAAATCTAAAATATTAGCCAGGTGCCAGTAATCTTAGTGCCTATAATCTTAGCTTCTTAGGAGGCTAAGGTCTGAGAATCAAGGTTTGAAGACAGCTGGGACAGACAAATCGGAATGGCCCTTACCTACAATTAACCAGTAAAAACCTGTAAATGGAAGTGTGGCTCTAGTGGTAGAGGGCCAGTAAAGAAGCTCAGCTAGAATGAGGCTCTGAGTACAAGCCTTGTACACACACGCGCGTATGTACGTACACATACACACACAATATACAGTACATAGAGACAAGGATTAATGCTACGTAAGCATGTCTAGTTTGCAAAGAAGTTAAAAAGAAAAATGAAAAAAAAAATCAGGAGTCACTTCAAAAAATGAAAGAGGGTGTACAACTCCAAAGGATCCTTGGGTTTATAAAAGCCATATTCAAAGGTGATTCTCCTTAGCCATCTAAACTAGTTAAACCATTTAAAAATATTTCTGGCTAAGACAAATTGGCTACAAAAGGAGTCCAAGAAATGAACTTCAAAAGAGAAAGGTTAATTTTTAGTTTTGGGTTATATAATAGTAGAGGTCCTTAACTTGGAAACAGAAAAGGCTCTAAGAACTTAGCATACTACCAGGGCAACCAAGATGGTCAGCATTAACTACTACTGTCTAGTAACACAAAATACAGTTTTCCTTGAAAGGAACCAAGAATGTCATTCCAACTAGAAAAGAGACATAAGATATATATATATATATATATCTAAGAGTTGCCAAAAGGAGACTACCCCGTGGTTCAGGTAGAAAAGTGTTCATTTGAGAAAACCAAACTGTGGGCACTCTACAGTAGGGTGTAGCAACTCAAACTAATGGCAGATAGAGATCTATATAGGGAACGGTGAGAAGGAGGTGTGGCCACAGTGGATGTGGAAGTGACCTCAGAGCCTGGGTTCCTTTTGCTGACTCACAGTCATGTGACTGAAGTTACAGGTGATTACTGGTTTCAGGCAAGTGATTCCAGGTTACCTGCTGTCCTTCACGAAGAGAAAGGGGGGTGGGGGGAAAGGGACTGTCCTCCTAGGTGCACCTAACAATATATATTCCATCTGCTCCTGTTTGTCTTAACTGAAGATACCTTCTACTTTTTTGAGGTAAGGGGGCCTGGGCTGTCCCTGAGCCTTTTCCTCAAGGCTAACATTTACCACAGGGGGCACAGCTCTACTTACAGCTTTTTGGTAGCTAATTGGAGGTAAGAATCTCAGGGACTTTCCTGACTGGACTGGCTCTGAACTGCAATGCTTAGATCTCAGTCTCCTGAGTAACTAGGATTTACAGGCACAAACCACACCTGGCTCCTTCTACTGTTTTATTCCGACCAATGTGCTTTATCTAGAAATCAACTGCAGAAAATAAATGTTTCCTTCCAAATTTATTAAGAATGTTAATACTAAGGTTCTAAGTAAACTATATGGAGCAAAGGACAGATAGGAAATTCTCACTTTTAAGTGTTCATTCCAAAATTCATGACTCAAGGAAAAAGTAAAACCACAGAGTTATATGAAAGAGGGAAATGTTGGACAGGATGCCTAAACAGAATTTCCTGGCTCCTGATGGCCTCTGTCAGAATTTCAAAAAGTAAAATGCAATAACACCTACTTCACCCAGCAAAACTCTGTAAAACAAACATACAGAAGCATTTGAGATAAAAAATCTCATACCACAAAGTAAAAATTTTAAGATGGCAGACATTTTGGTAGGAAGATCTTTTGTTTTTAAGTTACCCATAAAGAGATAAGCTCTAACACACAAAGGCACAAAGGCAATACACAAAGGCAATCTGTTCAGAACCAACTCCTTTTAGAGTGAAATGAAGCCTAAGCATGGCTTTAAGGTATCTCTTTTTATAAACTGCAGTTCTAACTCCCCTGAAGATCTCTTCTTACGAGAAAAATAATCTTACTCTGAGGTCTCCACAACATTATCAACCACTGATTAAAAATTTAAATCCAGCCAGGCATGGCAGTACAAGTCTGTAATCCCAGCACTCAGGAGGCTGAGGAAGGGGATTATGAGTTTGAACCAGTCTGAGCTACACAGGCCCAGGCTGGCTTGGGTAAGACCTATAAAAAAAAAAAAAAAAAAAAGTAAAGTCAGGCACTGCTGGCTTCACATTGGAATCTATTTACTCAAGAGGCTGAGACCTGAAGATGATGGTTCAAAGCCAGCTTGGAGAATAAATTACCAAAAAGCTGGAAGTACAGTGTGGCTAAAGTAGTAGAATGTTAGCTTTGAGCCCAAAAGTTCAGGGATAGCATCCAGGTCCTGAGTTGAAGCCCCAGAATTAGCATGTGCGTGCATGCATATACACGAAGTCTTTAAATTATACCTTATGTGATGTCAACTTTACCTACCCTTTGTACTGAAACAAAATAGACTGTACTCCAGATGTACATTTTTAGTTATATATTTCTTTTTTTTTTGGGTCCGGTCGTGGGGCCTGTACTCTGGGCCTGGGCGCTGGCCCTCAACTCTTCAGATCAAGGCTAGCGCTCTATCACTTGAGCCACAGCACCACTTCCAGCTTTTTTCTTTTTGCTTATGTGGTGCTGAGGAATCGAACCCAGGGCCTCAGGCATGCAAGGCAAGCGCTCTACCACTGAGCCACCTTCCCAGCCCTAGTTATATATTTCTATGTATCTTGTTTTGCTTTTTCCCTCATGTTTAAATCATATTTAAAATAAAACGACATAAAAACTTACCAAGTCAAGTCAGCAGGAAAACTAATTTCTCTTGTCTAGCAGGATCGCTCTGTTGGAAATAGAGATGATGAATCAGACTTAACCAGATTCTTAATTTCATACAAGTCTTTCTTTGGTTTTTCTTAAAGGGAAAATTTCACACACAACACATACACACTCACAGTGAAATGTTCACAAAGAAATGATTTACTAGACAAAATTACCACTCTCATATCTCATCAACAGCTCTGAATGTTCTATTTTTCAGTCACCTAGTCACTCAGGAGGCTGAGATCTGAGTATCATAGTTCAAAGCCAGCCCAGATAGGAAAGTCTGTGAGAATCTTACTTTCAATAAACTTTCAAAAAGATGGAAGTGGAGTTGTGGTTCAAGTAATAGCGCAAAAAAGCTTAGAGACAGCACCCAAGCCCTGAGTTCAAGCCCCAGGACTGGCACGTATGTGTATGAGTGTGTGTGTGCACACGTGCGCTTGCACACACACAAATACACACATGAACAATCTAAGCTAGTTCTAATGATCACACCACCTAGTATTTACAAGAGAGAAGTGATTTTTCCCAGCTCCTTAACATAATGCTGAAAGAATGACTATTAAGTTTTAATGTAAAGTATCTTAAAAAGTTCTGTGTGGTTAAATTACACCAACACAAGGACACTTAAACAAAGCCATAGCTGCTAACACTGAGATGAGGGATAGTCCACAAAAGACTGGGTTAATACTAATTACACAGGGAGAGAGAAAGGGAGGGCCAGCTTAAGACTGTTGAGATACCTGGGCTAAGCAAAACAACCACTTTGTCTACCACATCCTACAAAGTAACTTAAAACCCAAACATACACTGATCCAAGCAGTCCCAAGGCCTAGAAGCTTAACTCAGTCAGAAATTTCTGGCACTATTTTTCCTTTTGTGGAAGATATCAATGCATAAATCACTGATGACTCTCTAAAAATAGGTATAAACACCTATTTTAGTACATCAACACAAATAAATTTCTCTCTTTTGGGTTGTGACAGATTTTGGTGGTTACTATCAGAAGTGGAATGAGCCAACTTAAAAACTATGCTAAACCACTGATGCTCAAACAGAGGGCTTCTGATCAGATACAATAAAACAATGCAGGGCTGGGAAGGTGGCTCAGTGGTAGAGTGCTTGCCTTGCATGCATGAGGCCCTGGGTTCGATTCCTCTGCACCACATAAGAAAAAAGCTGGAAGTGGCACTGTGGCTCAAGTGGTAGAGCACTAGCCTTGAGCTAAAGAGCTGAGGAACAGTGCCCAGGCCCAGAGTTCAGGTCCCACGACTGGCAAAAACAAAAACAAAAAAAAATGCAAAAAAAATCCCATGTAGTTTAGTAAAGAGTAGCAACAGTCGTCATATTCATTCAGTGATTATTAGCTGAGCACCAACTGTGCAAAGCATTTTGGGGGACAAAGTAGTAAAAGAGACAAAGTTCCAGATCTTCCAAGGGTCTGGAATGCATTTAAGACTTTATTCCTACACAGAAGATAACCAGCTCTAATAAAAACTGTTCTGTATAGCTGATACTTAAAGCTGAACTCAATACTTCTTAAGTCTTTTCCTCTAATTTTTTCCTCAGTTTAAAGTTTTCTTTTTTTTCAGTCAGTTAATTTGCCAGAATTAGGATTTTTAGGCCCAATGGACTGGCAAAACTTAAAAGAACTTGACAATATTGGTAAGGGCTAGGACAAATAAGGACATTCTCATTGTGCAGTAAGACAAATTGGTGCTATCACTTTGGAAAATCATTTTTTTTTTTTTTTGGTTGGTCATGGGGCCTGAACTCTGGGCCTGGGCACTGTCCCTCAGCTCTTCAGCTCAAGGCTAGCACCCTATCACTTGAGCCACAACACCATTTCTGGCTTTATTCTGCTTATGTGGTGCTGAGGAATCAAACCCAGGGGCCCATGCATGCAAGGCAAGCATTCTACCACTCAGCCAACTTCCCAGCCCTCCCATTTATTTAAATTTTAAAAACGTTTTAACTGAAGCATAAAAATTGTGAGGCAGATTATCAAAGTTCAATACATGTATATAATGGGCAAAGATCACCAAGGTAACAATATTTATAACTTCTTTGTGCTAGATTATTAACAATGAAGATTCAAAAGTTCTACTCACAAACATGCAGCCTAGAGAAACTCCTATGCATGTTTACCACATGTAAACAACACTCACTGCAAAGTCTTTACTAACAGCCAACTACTAGATATAATCCAAATATCCATCAACATAGACTGATACATAAATTATTCTGCTATAAGCAGTAAAACTGAACTTCAATTTTATGTAACACATTGCTAAAAAATCAGAAATATATTGTTAAGATCTCAAAGATGACACAAAAGAGCATATAGTGTATTAGTCCATCTAACCAAAGTTCAAAAACAGATAAAAGCCAGGTGCAGGTGGCTCATGCCTGTAATCCTAGATACTGAGGAGGCTGAGATCTGAGGACTGCTGTTCAAAGCCAGCTCAAGCAGGAAAAGTTTGTGAGACTCTTTATCTTCAATAAACCACTCAGAAAACCAGAAGTGGTGCTGTGGCTCAAGTGGTAGAGCGCTAGCCTTGAGCTGAAGAGCTCAGGGACAGCACCTACGCCCAGAGTTCAAGCCCCACGACCTAAAAAAAAAAACCCAACAGATAAAAATAAACTATAACTGGTTTGGAATGCAGCCTAAATGTTAAAATCATAAAGAAACATAATTATCAGTGTTAAAATAGCAGAGGTTTCTTCTGTGTTAAAATCTAGATAGGATGCATGGAATGCTTCCTCTGGATGCTAGCTATATTTCTAGGTACCTAATTAATGGTTATGAAGATATGTGCTTGTATAATTAATCCTTAAATTATACAATTATTCTTCATCTGCTTGTTTTCATGAAAAAATATTCTAAATAAATGTTATCATTTAAAATGTTATCATTTTTTGTCAGTCATGGGACTTGAACTCTAGGCCTGGGTGCTATCCCTGAGCTCTTCAGTTCAAGGCAAGCACTCTACCACTTGAGCCACAGCACCACTTCCGGTTTTCTGGTGGATCATTGGAGGTAAAGGTCTCGTGGACTTTCTTGCTTTGAACCATAATCCTCAGATTTCAGCCTCCTGAGTAGCTAGGATTAGAGGCATGAGCCACTGGCGCCCAGCTAAAATGTTATTTTTAATAAGTAAGGAATGTATTTGTATCAATGTACTCAAGTTAGTGTTTGCATTTTCAGGAGAGTCTATTTTTAAAGAGTTACCAATCTCCCACGAAAGGGAAAATAAATTGCTAGAAATTTCTGACTGGGTTTTAGGCCTAGAAACCGCTCTGAGTGTCTGAAACATTTTGTAGGATATGGTAGTCAATAAAAGTGGTTGTGTTGCTTTAGCAGGACTGTACTTGCCTTTTTCTGTCTGGATAACTCTCCCTGGTCTCTTAGAAGTTCACAGGGTACAATTCCTCACCATTGCAGCAAGTCTTTGTAAACATTTTCATAAAAAACGTTCAAAATACACATGGTTAAAACTATCTAATTCCAGATAACAGGAATCTAACCTCCAGTATCTAAGGGTGAATACAATGTCTACACAGAATATCACTTTGGTTTCTTTTTTCAAAGATAATTCAGGGTGAGAACTCTGTAATAATCACCACCCAGGAATTGATGCAAATAGATACAATACCTTCCTTAGAATTACACTGCAATCCTTAATATCTGTCTTTCAAGGAACATTTGGACGTATTTAGACTACTCACCAGGAACCATTAGCTAACAATAACATTATATAAGAAATAAAAGCTTCGAAAAAAGAAAAGCCAAGACACAAATAATTTTTTGGTTTTCAAAGTTTAATTGTGGTTTTGCTGGACTCTCCATTCCATCTCCACCCCACTCATGGTAAAAGCTATGGTCTGTCTATAAAATGGCTGAAAAGGTCTTGCATAATCTGTACTCTATAACCTCCCCCACTTCATCTCCAACCAACAGATCCCCAGGGCTATATTGTAGCAACACAGCCCTTTGTTGTGGTTCCTGTCTCAGAGCTCTGTACTTGCTGTGTTCTGTCTGGACAACTCTCCTGGTCCCCTAGAGGTTATTGGAACATACTCCCTCACCCTTGCTGAATCTTGGTCAACACCTCGGTGAAGCTTTCCCTAACACCCTCAATGTAATACTTAGCCCTACAGCTATAATGCTGTTCAAACCCCACTGTTTTTATATATATGTACTAGATGTTGTCCCCTGCACCATACTGTAGATTTTACTTACCTGTTTCCTCTAAGTGGAAAATAAATTCCACAAAGGTTGATTTGTGTGCTTTGCTGTTGCACACAGATAGTATCAGGAACACAGAAGGCCAGAAACAGCCTATTTGAATAAACTTTTTCTTTTTGATTTCCATCCTTGAAAGATTGGACAATAACTCCATACATTCAAAAGCCAAAATGCTTGCTAGGTATGGTGGTGTATCCCTGTAATCCCAGAACTTGTAAGGTTGAAGTAGAAGGGTTGCAAATTCCAAGGTAGCCTGGACTATATAGCACACATACAAAAAATGTTATGCCTCTCTGTAAATCAAGTTCACTACCAAATTTCAAGTTTATGTTCTTATAGTAAGTTATGGTTAAAACTTAGAAAAAGTATACAAACATAACTGTATTTTCTCCTAACAAATATGTAGTATGTTTTTGTTTTGTTTTTGTGCTGGTCCTAGGGCTTGACCTCAGGGCCTGGGCACTGTCTTTGAGCTCTATTGCTCAAGGCTAGCTAACACTCTGCCACTTGAGCCTCAGCTCCACTTCTGGCTTTTTGGTGATTAATTGAAGATGAGAGTCTCACAGTGTTTCCTGCTCTGGCTGGCTCTGAACTGTGATCCTCAGATCTCAGCCTTCTGAGTAGCTAGTGAAGTATGGTTTTAATAACAATGATTTGAGGGCAAAATGAGATACGAACTCGTATTGATGCAGTGTACACTAGTTGAACTATTACAGGAATTACTTGATAACACATAACATGCAACACAAAGACTAACTGCTCCCTTTATA